CGAGCCCGAGCCCGGCCGCCTGGGGCAGGGCAGGGCAGGGCCGGGCCGGGCCGGCAGGAAGGAGATCGTCCTGGCTGGCCTGGCTGTGAGGCCGTCACGGTGTTTTCTCGGGTGGTTGCCGGTCGCTGTCGGTGCACAGGCTGCCCCCACTAGTGCGCCGTCTTCCAGGAGGCAGAAGACGCAGGTCGGGTGCAGGCTGGAGGGCAAAAGCTCAGCGAGGCTTATTGTGGTCAGACAGCAGGGCAGCTGCTCTGAGCAGTCAGGCCGATTTGGAGAAGCTTGTCCTTGGTGGGTAGGGGCACCATATGTTGTTCCCGCTCCTCTAGGCACAGGTTTCCCAATTCCAGTGTTTGTACTTGCATACCCTCTCCCCCACAGTCTTATCTCTCTCTGTGGAGATGTTCATCTCTGTTCTGTTTGCTAGGTTCACACGCCTGCTGTTTCATTAGAAAGCTACAGTTTTCATAGTTCCTTCAGTGTCTTTTCTTGTTGGTGTGTCTTTAGGTATTTCTTTCCTATCTTGCTGGGGCATCCAGCAGTCAGGAGGCTCCTTTCTCCCAGACTGCTTTTGGGCACCATAGCTTGGCGTACCTGTGGCCTAGCACAACCAGCATTCCTGCAGCTGGGAGGGTGGTTCAGCACTGAAAGAGAGAAATTGTGCCTAGAGAAACTGTGGACTCTCCATCCTTGGACACTTTCCAGAGCTGATTAGACAGATACTTGGCTGGGATGGTTTAGTTGGGGGTGATTCTGCCTTGAGCAGGGGGCAGGACTAGATCAGTGTTTCTCAACCTGTGGGTGGTGACCCAAAAGTGGGTCACAACAATATATGAAAGGGTTGCCAACAAACTTGTAAAAAGAGATCAACACAGTTTTAAAAATGGATTCTCCTTTAAAGGGGAAAAACATGGGAAGCGGTGGCTTTTCCCTTGCAGGCTGGCAGAATTTCAGCCTGTGAGGGGCTGCTTGTGGGAGCCCCCCTGCACCCCACACTGGGGGCCCGGGCACAGGGGGTAGTGGGTCCAGAGTGAGGGGCACTGAGTCAGGACTGGCCATTGGTGTTTACGAATGGGTCCTGGTATAAAAAAGGTTGAGAACCACTGGACTAAATGACCTTGTGACATCCCTTCCAGCCCTCCTTTCCTGTGATCCTGAGTGAAAATAAACCAGTCTTAACGCAGCAGGCATGGGTGTCTGCTAATATTCTTCCCTTCAGTTGCTCTGTTCTGTGTATCTGCAGTTCTGTTTTTTAAATTTTTTTGGAGTGTTAAGGTTTTATTTCCTTTGGTGTTTCTGATCATTTTAAGTTTGTTGGTGGTTTGATGTGTATTTTTTTTGCCAGACTGCCAGTATTGATATGGTTGTCAGACTTGCTCATGGTTCAAGAAACTCTCAACAGTGACTTGTTAAAACTTCATTTTCTGTGCAGGGACCCAAGCATGCAGAATGTAGGGGAAACTCTATGCACTAGATGGAAATTTTTCAGGAGGCTGGGCTGTCATGCTGATTTACTTTTCTCTTTTTTGTGTTTAAACAAAGTGAGGCTGGAAAACAAAACAAACCAAAAAATCTTGACAAGTATCTCATAATGGGAGAGAGGTGGGAAGAGGATAATATAGAGGTCCAGAGTCAAATCTGAGCGTGAAGTCTTGATTTCTTTCCCTTCCGGAGTCCCCTTCCAAAATCCAAACTTTGAGGAAAGGAAGTGCTACCCTTTGACCTTTTTTGAAGACTTGGTTTTACACATTGGCATTCCCTTCCTGCCCCCCCACCCCATCACCTTTGTTATATAAAACTGCTAAGGGTGTGCTGGGAGAGGTGTTCTCTCCAGTCTGTACTAACTCCATGGCTTTTGGCTTTATGACTTCCCATTGCTCTCCTCTAGTCTTTTGCTCTGGGGTCCTTTCCTTCCTGTCAACTTGAAAATGTGTTGCTGTTGCCAGGTTTTTACACAGCAGTTTGCAGAACTGAGTCTGTCTTACTGTTGCTTTTCAGAATCCTTTGGGTAGCAGTGAAAATGATGGTCTTGTTAGTTTATAGCAGCAGCAGAGGCTGCAGACCCAAGAGGTGCTGTCTAACTATGCACGTGTGCAGTTATCTTTGCAACCATAACTTGGTGTTCTTAAACAAACTCTTCGGCTGACTTGGTTTTATGTACAAAGATTAAACATGTATTTGGAGTTAGGATGTGGAAAAGGAAGATAGGGAAGGGCTGGAACAAGTATTGCTAGGTTTCTTTTGTCAATACTAAAGTGTTTACATAACAAGCAAATTGCTGTGTTTATTTAAAAAAAATCAAATCACCACTATTCAAGTAGCCTTCTTAAAGAAGAAACAAGTAAAGCTTAGAGTAACCTAGAAAAAGGACTTCCAGCTCCTGAAGGCTTGCTCTGTCTTGTGTAGCAACAATATGTTTGGTAAAATAAATAAATACAGTTTTTACTGTGTCTGTTTTCAGTAGCTTTGGTAAATAGTTTTCTCCTGTATTATATGAAGATCTCAGTCAATATCTTTTAATTCATCATTAAGATTTACAGGCAAGTTACTAAGACACTTTTCTAGTATTCCAGGATCTTGCTAGATTTTAATTATTAAAAAAAAATCTATAACTTCATTACTGAAAATCTTGTTTTGAAATGTAAGCAGCAAATGTGTCTGTAACAGCTCACATATAATTGTGTGGTAATAAAATGAAGATGAAGGTCTTTCTGTCTGCAGTACTATTTTGACAGAGATTGTGTGGCTCCCAGGAGAACCCTGATTTTAATTTTACATGTATACCCAAGGTGAGAGCAGTTGAGACAAAAGTCATGCATGGAAGCCTCTGGCCTCCCTTCTGCTGGTTAGCCACACTCAGGTTTTCGGTGGTATCTTCAACCCTTGGACTTTTACTTGTGGTGAGGACTTGCTTCCAAATTGCGAAGGAATAAGTAGTGTCATTTTCTGTTGTAAGGTAGGCTGCTTTTTCTGTGAAGAACTGATATGTGCTTACCTGCACTTGGCTCTTCCCTCTCCAATCCTGCTTCCAGACAATACAGCTATGATCCAGGCTCTTTGAGGTCAGTGTTACATAGGCAGCACTTGTCCTCATTCTCATTCTTCCATGTTTCTCTATCTTCCTTGCACAGTCTGCTTCCCAGTTATAAAGCAGATGAGAGCAAAAAATCCTAGTTGGGTTTAAGGTTCTGGTTTTTTGGTCAAGTTCATTGAAGTGAATAGTAGCAAGCATCATTGTCTGAATAAATTATTGTTTTCAAATACTTTTTCTATCCTTTTTTAACAAGTAAAAGTTACGTTCTCTGTGAAATGTGGTACTGTATATAACTTTCATATTTTCTATTTTCAAATAGTGTGAGAGATCATTGAAGTCAGTCACAGATCTTTTTCTTTTTCTTTTTTTAAAGAGCCATTTGTTCCATGCTTGCATCAATAACTGGGAGTACACCTGCCTGTTGGGGCACAAGAGGAGCCTAGTAGTGCTCTAGCACTGCAGTAATACTTCTGATTGTAGTACAGCTCTTTGGTTGAAATGGTTCAAAAATAGTAATAAAAAGCTTCTGAACCTAGCACTTGATACACAGTATCCTTACTGTGATACATAAAACTTGTTTGTTTGTTTTTTTAGAAAAAATACATTTATCAATTCCTTCATTTACAGCTGGGGGAATAACAAATGCTTTGTAAACAAAATGTTTTGTGATGCTTTGAGTTTCAACTAGATTGGCTGTCTACCTTTTTAAGGTCACTGACCCTAGAAACAGATTTTTAGTCATAATGTCCAGTGACCTTTAGAGCAGAGGTTCCCAAACTTTTTCTTATTGCGTACCCCCTTCCAGATTTACCACTTCCGTGCGTACCCCTACCAGCATACATTTTGTATTTTAACTCCTTAAATGTCAATTATTATTATATTGAAAATTAAATCTGCCATTATACAATTTCCCCCATGTACCGCCACAGAGATATCTTGCGTATGGGGTACACGTACCACCGTTTGGGAACCCCTGTTTAAGAGTTGATTAATACTGAATGAAATATTTCTTGGAAGCTGTTTTTCTTTTTTTTTCCTTTCTTTCCTGTTAGTTGGCACATCTCATATATCATTCTTTCCTTCTATTTGACCAAGGACTCGTAAGAAAATAAGTTCAGTTTCTTAGCATACTAACATAAGTTAGTACTCAGTAGTCGACTGAGTACAGTCCAGTTGGTAATATTACCATCAGCGTTAACTTCTGATTCTTCTGAGTACTGTGTAATGGGTGTAGATTGAAACAAGGGGAAGGGTGAGGGGAACCCCAATATTATGTTTCTGTAAAACTGTTCTTTCATAAACTTGTCATCTGGCATGCATCAATTAGAGAGCCATACATACCTCTGGAATTACAGATTGCCTTACAGTCGTATTCCCTCAGACCAAAACATGCAAGTGTATGTTGCAAAAAATTGTGTGATGTTTAAGGGCAGAGCAAACTACAGTCAATAGTGTTGCTTGAAGTTATGGTAATGTATTATTTGATTTGTAGTTAATGGACCTGGGATGCCTACATCAGGGAATGCCATTCTGTCCCACCCTAACATGCTTGTTGTTGTTTTTTGCCTTCCCTTTCTTCCTCTTCTGCATTTAGTACTTATCTTTTTTTGGGTATCTTTGAGACCTTTGTAATGTGAAGCTGTGACATAAGCATTAGGGCTGTGCGAAGCTTCAGTCGCTGATTTAATTCAGAAGAGATTCAGCTCAATTCGGTGGCTGAATCTCCAAATCCGAATCGAATCAGGAGACCCTTTAATCTTTCCAAATCCAAATCAAATCGGAACCCTCTGAATCGTTTCAGAAAGATTCGATGATTCAGACATGGACAAAAATTTAAATGTTTTTTCTGCATACTTCAAGGTACCAGGCTGCCCATGAATACTGAGATGGTGGGGCGGATGGAGCGTCTCACAGGAGTGTGGGGGGATCCCCAGTGTGTTCAGCAGCAGACCTGGAAGTGGACCAGAAGTACTTCTGGTCCACTTCTGGGTCTGCCGAGGAGCGAGCTGGGGGACTCCCCTGTGCCCCTCCCTGGCTTGGCGACTGGTGCCTTCTGGGTCTGGGGGGGGTGCCAAGGTCCACCTGTGGCTGATTGTCGAGCTCCTGTGGGATGCTCCATCCATCCCACCATCGCAGCACTCGCGAGATGCGCCTGGTACCTCAAGGTATATAGAAAAAACAGTTAAAGCTGTGTCCATGGCCGAATTGCTGATTCTCCAAATTGGCCTTGAATCTTTGGATTCAGCTGAATTGAATCGGAGACAGTGATCCAAATCCAAATTGAATGAGGCCTGTTTGCATGCCCCTATTAAGCATCTCTTCCCCCCTTTCTCAGTTGCCTGAGCAAGAGTTGAAGAGGGTGATTCTCAATCATAACTAACTGAGCAAAGGTTCTAAGCTTCATATGGTGGAACTGTTCAAATCTTTGTATGGCCCTTCACCTGTTCTTTGCCTTCATGAAGAACTAAGGTTCTCTTAATTAGTGTGGACATTTTGTCGTCTTCAGAGTGGAGACTAAGAAAATGTAAAATCACAAATACAATTGCCAAGCGAACTTTATAGAAGGGGAAAGGAGAGCTTGAGAGCAGTGGACTGTTAAGGAGAAAACTAGAAGAGGAGGAATGGGAGCAGATGATAAAACACTCAAACAACTCTATTCTACAGTTAAGCCATTCTCTTTATTTCTCGCCTCTTTTGACTGGCTCCCAATTATTTTTTATCTGAAAGATGTTCTCCCATAAGATCTTCCTTCTACACTTATCTCCTGTAGAATGTAACATTTTACTCCAGCAAAAAGCCACATAAAAGTAAGATTTCCCCTACCATACAGATGTAACCAGGTCTCTTGATTTGGTCAGTGTGTGCCATATAGATATGGTCAACCCATGCTTTTAAATGGGAACTGCCCCAGTGATGTAACTGGGTTGCTGACAGCAGTGGTGTGGTTGGTTTACAGTGGTGGCAGCTGGATTATTTTTATGGCCCCTCCCCTGCCTCCTTAATTTAGTGCCTGGTGCCACTGCCCTGATCACCAGGGATCCTGGTTTTCCCTGATAGCAAAGAGTTTTTGGTATTTTTTTTTTTTTT